TGCACAGCAAAAGAAACAGTCATTACAGTGAATCAACAACAAACAGAATGGGAAAAAGTTTTTTGCAATCTACCCATCTGCCAAAGGGCTGATATCCAGAATCTACAAAGAACTAAAGCAGATTTACGAGAAAAAGCAAGCCCATTCAAAAGTGGATGAAGGATATGAACAGACAGGTTACAAAATAAGACATACATGAGGCCAACAAACATGAAAAAATGCCCATCATCACTGGTCATTAGAGAAATGCCAATCAAAACTACATTGAGATACTATCTCATGCCAGTTAGAATGGCAATCATTCAAAAATCTGGAGACAACAGATGCTGGAGAGGATGTGGAGAAATAGGAACACTTTTACACTGTTGGTGGGAGTGTACATTAGTTCAACCATTGTGGAAGACAGTGTGGCAATTCCTCAAAGACCTAGAAATAGAAATTCCATTTAAACCAGTAATCTCATTACTGGGTATATATCCAAAGGATTATAAATCGTTCTACTATAAGGACACATACACACGAATGTTCATGGCAGCACTGTTTACAATAGCAAAGACCTGGAACCAACACAAATGCCCATCGATGATAGACTGGACAGGGAAAATGTGGCACATATACACCATGAAATACTATGCAGCCTTGAAAAACGATGAGTTTGTGTCCTTTGTAGGGACATGGGTGAACCTGGAAACCATCATTCTCAGCAATCTGACACAAGAACAGAAAATCAAACATCGCATGTCCTCACTCATAGGTGGGTGTTGAACAATGAGAACACATTGACACAGGGAGGGGAGCATCACACACTGGGGTCTGTGGGGAGGAAATAGGGGAGGGACAGTGGGGGGTGGGGCATTGGGGAGAGATAGCATGGGGAGAAATGCCAGATATAGGTGAAGGGGAGGAAGGCAGCAAATCACACTGCCATGTGTGTACCTATACAACAATCTTGCATGTTCTTCACATGTACCCTAAAACCTAAAATGCAATAAAAAGTAAATCTAAAAAATGGGGGAAAAACAAGTGAGTTATAGATACACACCACAACACGGATGCACCTGAATACCTTCTGCTTGCTGAAAGAAGTCAGACACAAAAGGCAGCTTATTTTATGAGTCTATGTGTATGAAATGTCCTGAATAGAGAAATTCACAATAAGAAAGCAGATTAGAAGTTGGCAGGGTGGGGTAGAGAGAATGGAGTTGGCTGAAATGGGTAAGGGGTTTCTTTTCAGGGTGATAAAAATGAACTGGAATTACGTAGTTGAGATCATGGCAAAACCAGAATATAATAAAACCCAGTAAATTCACTTCAAAAGTGAATGTATGGAATATGAATTATATGTGACAATACCTGAGAAGATGATTTAAAGTTATATATTTGGTCGGTTGTACCCAGTGGCTCACATCTGTCATCCCAGTGTTTGGGGGGCCGAGGCAGGGGGATCATGAGATCAGGAGTTTGAGACCAGCCTGGTCAACACAGTGAAATCCTGTCTCTACAAAAAAATACAAAAATTAGCCAGGTGTGGTGGTGGGAAACTTTAATCACAGAAACAAGGGAAGCTGAGAAAGAAGAACTGCTGGAACCTGGGAGGCAAAGCTTGAAGTGAGCCAAAATCACAACATTGCAGGACAGCCCAGGCAAGTCTCAAGAATAAAAAAATACAGCAACTGAAAAGTAGTCTATTTTTCACTCAGTTTTGGATTCTTTTTAAGGCTATTGCTTGGAATAAAGTAAACAAAGGGAGAAGAGGAGAAACAAGAACAGATACTAGGAATAGAAGCAGCAGTATAAGAAAATGAAGATCAACAAGAAAATGATAAGGAGAAGAAAAATCAGAGTGGAAGAAAGGAAAAAGGACAAGTAAGGGAATCAGGAGGCCTATTATACATTTTAACACCTCCCTGATTCATGAAAATTGAAAAAGTCCAAGACTATCCAAATTGAAAAAACGAGCAAAAAGATACACAAGTAGTCACCCCCCAAACTTTGTTAATGATGGCTCAGGTGACAGCAGGTGGAGGGCACCCTCCAGATTCTGCAGGAGAAACAGGGAAGACTCGTCCTTGCCCTGGCTGCAACTCCACCACTGCCACAGAGGCCCATGATACAGCACCTGCAGCTTCCTACCCATCCCAGGCCAGGCCAGGCCAGCCCACAGCACTTGTACCCACCTTCCCAGCTTCCTGACTTGCTGCTGCTGCCACCACTAATGTCAAAGCCAATACTGCTGCTGTTGCCATCAACACAGTGGCCCATCCTACAAGGCTCCTATCACCTGGCCACCACCAAACCCCTGTCCCTGCCCTGGTGGCAGTCAGCCACCCTCCTACCTCTCTGGCATTCTGCAGTCTCCATCTCTGCCATCAACTGCAGCAAGGTGAGCTGTTGTGCCACAGGCTCCAGCCTCCAGCATGCAGCAGGTGGCTCTTCTTTCTCTTGGCATGGAGCAGCTGGGTGGGCAAAGCCAGAAAATCCTAGAACAGGATGCAGAGTGTGGTAGCATTAGAATCCCCCTTTGTCATGCTGGCCACTGGGTAGCAGGGCCCAGTTACAATGAAGGCACTCATACCCACCCTCCAAAGTCCAGCTGCTCCTTTTGTCACAAACTGTCCAGGAACTGGTGCCTGGGATGGGGTAGTGGGGACATCATGGTTCCTGGACTTCCCACTCCACAGGAATTGCTGGGGCAACCTGGGCTGAGCTCAGGAAGCAGGAGCAGCAGAAACTCATTTCCAACCAGCTCTCTTCACCAAAGTGCTCATTCCCATTCCTGATGGCTACACTCACAAAGCCCTGTCACCTCATGGTATTTGCTACTGTGTCCTGGGGTCCCAGGTGGTCTCCACAACACAGAATGAGAGGGTATGGGCCTAGGAACCACCGGATCTGGGCACCCCACCATGCTCAGGACTCCCGAGGAAACTTTATGTGCCCACCTTGCTAGAGCAGGAAGAGATGGCCCTATAGAGTCTGGGGTCCATCCAGAGAGGGGAGAGCCGCTCCTCTCTCAAAGACCACTGCTGTCACTGACACCTCTGCTGCCAGCCAGCCACCAGCAGTGCAGCCCCCGATAGACCTGCCACTGGCAGTGTAGCTCTGGAATACAGCCAACACACTGCACTCTGCAGCCGGCAGTGTAATGCCTGATGGTGGCTCCACCTGCTCTTGCTTCAGACCCTGCAGCACTGGATGGTACCTGCAATCCACACCCCCTCGCCCCACTCTGTCCAACACACCCTAGGATATTGCCCCCAATTTACTCCCTTCCATGGGCAGTTCAGCATTCCCAACCAGAATCCTATTGCAGGCAGTGATATCCTGATATGGCACCCAAACTGAACCCCATCATGGGCAGTGCAACCCCAGATAGCACCCCAAGCCCCTCACTGTTGGGTGCAGTGCAGCCCCACATAGCTCCCCCAACCCATTCCCTGCCTTAGGAACTGCAGCCGGGGATAGCACTTCAAACTCCCTACCCACCTCTGGAAATGTAGCCACGGATAGCCCACCCAATCAATCCCCCGCCATGAGCAGGGTAGCCCCCAATAGCGGACCCATCCTGCCCCTGCCACAGCCAATATGCCCCAGATAGCACACCCACCTGCTCCCTGCCAGGCAACACAAACCCCTGATAGCACCCAACATGCTTCCCCACCATGAGCAGCCTTTCCTGTCCCGGACAGTGTCCCCAACCAACTCTCCTCATGCAGTCTGGCCTCCAGTAGTGCTCTCAAGAAACCCTCCCCACCTCTGCCTCAATGCAGCCCCTGATAGCGCCTTCAAAACCCCTCCCCACCACAAGCAGTGTAGCACCCTATAGTGACCCTAACCTGTCCCCCACCACTGGCATTCAAGCCTGACATTGTCCTTAACCCACTCCCTGCTGTAGGCAGCAGCCATGGATAGTGCCCCCAACCAGTTCCCAGACGTAGGCAGTGACGCCCTGGATATAACACTCCCCACCCACCATGGACAGTGTAACACCCCATAGCGCCCCCAACCTGTTCCTGACAAGGGAATTGCAGCATCCGATAGCTCCCCCAACTTGCCCACCAATGCAGCCAGTTCATCCCTGGGCAGTGCATCCCCAGACAGTGCTCCCAAAACGCCCCACTGCCGCTGGCTGTACAGCTTGGGATAGTGCCCCAACCCACACCCAGCCATGAGCAGTGCACCCCAGATAGCGGCCCCCACCCACTCCCCTCCATAGGCAGCGATGCTCTCAGATAGCACACTCAACCAGCCCCCAAACACAGGCCGTGAGGTCCCAGATAGTGTCCACTGCCCACAGCAGGGCACCACCAACCCACCCCCCATGCTGCAGGCACTGCACCAGTGATGGTGAACCTATCCCGCCACCTTTTCACCTTTCCTGCTGTGCTGTAGTCTCCCTTCTCACCACCAACCATACTGCTGCAACCCACCACCATCCAAGGGCATTGCACCCCCAAATAGGGCCCCCAATCCTGTCCCCTCCGTGGGCAGTGTCACCCCAGGTAACACACCCAACAAACCTCAAACACGGGCAGTGACAACCAGAATAGCACCTACTGCCCAAGGCATGGCGCCCCCAACCGTCCCCCATGCCACTGGCCATCTGGCCCAAAATGGCGAACCTAACCCCCAATGATTTTACCTTTCTGGTTGTGCTGTAGTCTCCCTCACCGCCACCAACTGCAAAAGCAAGGCGAGCCAAGATACTGCAGGCTCCAGCCTCCAGTATGGGCGGCAGGTGGCTAGTTCTCCTCCTTCTCTAAGCCGGACTCCCAGCAGGCAGGGCAGCCGAGCCTGAAAAGCCTGAAATGGCGAGACTTCACCTTGGCATACTTTATATAAGGCATTCCTGGACTACATGTTCTGATTGGATAAGAGCAAGTCTTAGGCTAACCAATCAGAGCATGAAAATAAAGTCCAATTAGAGTAGACCTTGCAGTTTTTACTCATCCAATCAGAACATAAAGGCCAGGAACGCCTTATATAAAGTATGCCTGGGGGAGTCTCGCTATTTTAGGCTCTTCTGAGATGGCTTGCCTTCCAGCTCTGGCCTGGTTTTGAGGCAAAGAAGGAGTCGCCACCTGCCACCCACTCTGGAGGCTGGAGCCTGCAGTATCTTGGCTCACCTCGCTGTTGCAGTTGGTGGCGGTGACGGAGACTACAGCGCAGCCTGAAAGGTAAAATGGTGGTGGAATAGGTTCCCCATCCCGGCCTGCACAGCCTGCGTCACAGAGGGCAGGTTGTAGGCACCCTGCCATGGGCAGTGGGCACTATCCAGGGTGTCACTGATAGTGTTGGTTGGGTGGGTTATCTGAGACACAATTGCTTATGGAGGGGAGAGGGTTGGGAGCCCTATTTGAGGGTGTGCTGCCCGTTGCTGGGGGTGGGTTGGGGCCTATCCCAAGCCATACTGCCAAAAGCAGTGGGGGATTTTGGGGGTACTATCTGGGAATGGATAGCCCACGGTGGGGAGTGAGTTGGGGAAGCTATCAGGTGCTGCAATGCCCTTATGGGAGACGGATTGGGGGCACCATTGGGTGCAACACTGCTGGCCATGAGGGGTGGGTTGTGGGTGCTATTGGGTGTTATACTGTCCATGGTGGGTGGGGGGTGTGATATACAGGACATCATTGCCTGTGTCTGGGAACTGGTTGGGGGCACTATCCATGGCTGCATTGCTCACATGGGGAGCAAGTTAGGGGCACTATCTGGGGCTGCAGTGCTGGTGGTGGGGTATGAGTTAGGGTGATTATAGGGTGCTACATTGCTGGCAGTTGGGGGGATGTTAAAGGCACTATAGGGGATATATTAAAACAAAGGTGGGGGTGTTTATTGGGAACACTACCTGGGGCTGGATCGCCTGTGGAGAGCGGGTAAAGGGTTGTGGGGCACCCTTGGGGCCTGAGTGGGAAGAAGGTGACAGGCAGGTTGGATGCTCTCAGGGGTCTGCACTGCTGGCAAAGTGCATGCTAGTGTGTTATTCAGGGCCACATTGTTTGTGGTAGGGGCAGGTTGGGTGCCCTATTGGGGCTATCTGAGCTGTCAATACCTGCAGTTCCGAGGTGGGGAGAGAATTTGGAGTGCTATCCGTGGCTGCACTGCCTGAGGCAGGGAGTTGGTTGGGGGTGCTTTCCAGGACTGCACTGTTACGAATGGGGAGCGGGTTAGGGCACTATCTGGGGTTGCAGTGCTCACAGTGGGGCAGTTTTGGTGCCATATGGGGGCATCACTGCCTGTGGTTGGGGACACTATCTGTGGCTATGCTGCCCACTGCAGGAAGCGGGTTGGGGGCACTATCCTGGGCTGCACTGTCCACAGCAGGGGCGGATTGTGGGTGCCATTGGGTGCTGCAGTGTCTAAGGCAGGGGTGGATTGGGGGCTGCCAACAGGTGCTACACTGACAGTGGTGTGGGACAGGGTGTTGGCAATATCCTGGGCTACACTGCCAGTGGCAGTGGATTAGGGGCTCTATCAGAACTGCATTTCTGGTGGCAGGTGATGGAAGTTTCAGTGACAGCAGTATTCTCTGAGAGAGGAGTGGTCCTCCTTTCCCCAGACTCTGAAAGGCCATCTTCTGCTGCATGGTGGGCGCACAATGTTTCCATGAAAATCCTGCCCACAGCAGAGCACCCAGATTCTCTGTGACTCCCAGGCTGGAGCCCTCTCATTCTGTGTTGCAGAGACCACCAGGGATGCCCAGGCATATGATAGCAGACACCATAGAGTGACAGGGCCCTGTGGGTGGAGGCCTCAGAGTGGGAACCCGCACTTTGGTGGGGATGGCTGGCTGGGGGTGAGTTTCTGCTGCTCCTGCTTTCCAAGCACAGCCTGGGTGGGCCCAGTGGTTCCTATCGAGAGGGAAAACCAGGCACCATGGTGTTTCCAGAGCCCACTCCATGCACCAGTTCATAGCCAGCTGTGGCTACTACCAAAAAGAGATACTGGACTTTGGAGGGTGGATATGAGTGGTTTCAGTGAAACCGGCCTGTGCCACCCAGTGGCCAACATGACAAGGTGGGACTCTAATGGTACCACTCTCTACATCCTGTTCTAGGTTTTTTGGCTTTGCCAACCCAGCTGCTCCATGCTAGGAGAAGGAAGAGCCACCTGCCGCATGCTACAGGCTGGAGGCTATGGCAACACAGCTCGCCTGGCTGTGGCTGGGGGCAGTGATGGAGACTGCAGAGCACCAGAAAGGTAGGAGGACAGCTGCTTGCCACCAGGGCAGGGGCAGGGGTTTGGCGGTGGCCAGGTGGTAAGAGACTCATAGGATGGGTCTCTGCATTGAAGGCAACAGCAGTGGTATTGGCATCAGTGCTAGGGGTGGCAGCAGCAGCAAATCTGGGGACCAGGAAGATGGGTATGAGTGCTTCCACTGGCCTGGCCTGGCCTGGGGTGGGTAGGAAGCTGCAGGTGCTTATTGCAAGTGTGGCAGTGGTAGAGTCACAGCCAGGGCAAGAAGTAGTCTTCCCTACTTCTGCAGAATCTGGAGGGTACCCTCCACCTTTTGACACCTGAGCTGGGTGACAGTAGTAGCATTGTGTCATTATTAACAAAGTTTGGGGGGGTGATTTTTTTGTGTATCTTGTTGTTTCTTTTAATTGGGATAGTCTTGGACTCTTTCAAATATCTTGAATCAGGGAGGGAACAAAAGGCATAATAGCCCTCCTGATTCCCTTACCTGTTCTTTTTCCTTTCTTCCAGTCTGGTTTTTCTTCTCCTTAGTATTTTCTTTTTGGTCTTTATTTTCTTATACTGCTGTTTCTATTTTTTGTATCTGTTCTTGTTTCTTTTCTTCCTCCCTTTGTTTTTTTATCCCAAGCAATAGCCTTAAAAACAACAATCCAAAACTGACTTAAAAATAGACTACTTGTTAATGTGTGTTGTATCCCTGCCTTCCCCCTGCCCAACAGTCTTGTGCTATCACCCAGGCTGGAGTGCAGTGGCTTGATCTCAGGTCACTGCAACCTCCGCTGCCCAGGTTCATGTGATTCTCCTGCCTCAGCCTCCAGAATAGCTGGGATTACAAGCGTGAGCCACCATGCTCAGCTAAATTTTGTATTTTTAGTAGAGATGGGGTTTCACCATGTTGGCCAGGATGGTCTTCATCTCTTTACCTCATGATCAGTCTGCCTTGGCCTCCCAAAGTGCTGGAATTACAGGCATGAACCACAGTGTCCAACCAGTTGTATAATTATTTAGATATTTGAGTAGCTGTGTTTATATGATACTGTTAATGTGTTTTCAGTAGTTATTCACTGAATCAAAAAAATGAATCATTGAATCAAATATTGGTAGCCACCAGCAATTTCATATCTGTTAGTCCATAGATACACAAGAGGCATGGGGCAATAAGTTCCAATTTATGAGATCATTAAGTAAACCATATTTCCTTCATTTTATTTCTCTGTTACCATTTCAAGAGTATTGTCATCTCCATAAACAAATCTGGTTTGTCACCGCATCTTTGCAACAGGAAAAGGAACCAGAAGATGATGTGTATAATATTTTTAGGCCAAGATTCACAACTGAAACAAGACTTTATTAGCTTTTGCATTTAAAAACCTGCAGTTCTAGCCCTCTTTGTTTCCTAGTATTACTCTTTTTCTTATGAACTCTTTCTTTTTACTGATTACTCTAGGAGTTTGTGCATTTTATTGACTATCTTGAACAATCTATATTCTATTTTTTTCAAGCCCACAGAAATGTGTATGACCTACAATTTTGACACTTTTTAGTTGTTTTTAAGATCAAGATCCAGTCTCATTAGTAGGTCTGTATTATAAAAAGAAAAAAGCACACAATTACTATTATCTTTTGAATTTTGCTTTGATGTTTGTTTGTTTTTTGGAGACAGAGTCTTGCTCTGTCACCCAGGTTTGAGTGCAGTGGTGTAATCTTGGCTCACTGCAACTTTCACCTCCCAGGTTCAAGCAATTCTTCTGCCTCAGCCTCCCAAATAGCTGGGACTGTAGGCACACGCCACTGCACCCAGCTGATTTTTGCAGTTTTAGTAGAGATAGGGTTTCACCATGATGGTCAGGCTAGTTTTGAACTACTGATCTTGAGTGATTCACCTGCCTTGGCCTTCCAAAGTGCTGGGATTACAGGCATGAAGCACTACACCTGGCCATAAATTTTTTATTTTGAAGATGGTAAGGCTCAGTCATCTGGATTCTGCCTTCCCCCAGGCCAAGAGGAACTGAATCTGTCTTTCACCTTGTTCCTCCCTGGCCTCTGCCCTCACCCCTTTTCCAGCCTGGCTTGTAAAGCCCTCGGTGTGGATGGGAGAACACTACTTGGTTCTTTGGGAGCCCAGTTGTGTGAGCTCCAGGTGGAGTGTATAGGATCTATATTTTTTACCTCCTGTATTCTTGATGCTCTGCCATCTAGGGCCTCACTCACCAGGATGGACTGCCCCTCCAGGATTTGCTAATTCTAGAGAGCAAAGGATTCCACCCTAAAGTTGATGCTGCCCATCACCTCCTTCACTGAACTCATAGACCATGCCAATATTCCCCTGTCCTAAATAAACCTGGGCCAGGGACCTAATAGCTCAGGGCAGCCCTTACACCCAAGAGCCCACTGAAATTCTTCAAACTGGCCAATCATAAAGATGCTTGCCTTGCTTTGATAATTCCTTACTACAAAAGCCACAAAGAAGTCTCTGCTCATGGTCTTTCCTTGTTTTTTTTTTTGCCACTTGCCTGACCCTTGGTGCTTCCTGGCATGGCTCTGCCTGGCACAGCAGGGTGTACCTTCTGTTGGGAACTGTGAGTAAAAAACTCTATTTTTTCTTTCTTTCTTTTTTTCTCTTTTCAGAGACAGGATCTGGCTCTGTCACCTAGGCTGGAGTTCAGTGGCTTGATTATAGCTCCCTACAGCCTTGATCTCCCAGCCTTAAGCGATCCTCCCATTTCAGCTCCCCAAGTAGCTGAAACTACAGCCACCATGTGTGGCTAATTTTGAAAACTTTTTTGTAGCAATTTTGTCTCCCTATGTTACACAGTCTGGTCTCAAACTCCTGGCTTCAAGCGATCTTCCTGCCTTGGCCTCCCAAAGTTCTGGAATTATAGGCATGCACCACTGCACCTGACCTACAGACTCTCTTTTTAATAGACGTCATCTCCTGATCTTTTGGACTCACCACATCTAAATAATAGTAAGACTTACATTTTTTTAAATAGGGAAAGAGGAGGGACACAGGTTGTGTAATGGGAGAGGAGAGGAGGAAATAGGCAGGAAGGACTGGAAATGAGAAGTGAGTAGACGACATATGTTTCACCCTCTGCATTGGTCATCTCCCCCCTCTTCCTCTTCCTCAATATCTCCCTTGAGTCCCCTCCTCTCCCTTTGCCATGGGTTTTACTCATCATAGACAATGAACTTTGAAGGTGAAGAGTGAGGCCTCCCATGAGCATAAAATCTGAAAGAGAAAGTCTCCCTTTGAAGGCAGGAAGAGTTCTCAGTTAGCAGACTCCATAGAATGATGATGAACACGTTAGAGATATCTGGATCCTGTCTCCAGGCTCATCTGTCAAACCTTGGAGAAGAGGAAATAGGATTTGTCCTTGGGGGAGCTGAGCTCAGAGAGATGTGCTGGTGCCTCAACCAAGGCTGCCTTGCTTTATCCTTCCAGAAGAAATATTTAGGAGACAGTGGTGGGTGAGCTTTGAGGAGATGGCAAACACTTTCCCACGGGAAAGTGTAATGGCATTTGGCCTGGAATGGTACTGAGATGTGTGTGGGCTGGAATGTGGTGTTTGGCCACACGATCCCTAGACCTTCTCTCAGTGCTGGGATCACTGGCTTCCTGACTCTCAGGCCCAGGCACAGCCCAGTCACTCCCTTGATTTGCTGCACCTATAGGGCCCCCACAGTACAGGAGGGAGAGAGAACCAAACTTTCAATTAAGATTCAGTCAGGCACAGACCTGTGGAATGAACTGCCTGGAAACCCAAGGAGGGATGGACTAAAGGGAGAGATCATGGAGCTTTTCAGGAAATTCACCAGGGGATCTGTTGGGGGGACCAATGTGAGAGCAGAGCCCAGGGGGTGGGTGAGGCAAGTCCAGGGTTGGCTCTGGGTCTGGCATGACACTGCTCCTGATGCTCCTGTATTAACCCACTAATCCCTCCAGGGCCTGGGTGTTCTGGGACAGAGAGCACAGCACAAAAACTCTGATAGGAAATCCCTTTTTAGAGAGGCTTATAAAAGTTATTTTTTCCACAGGCCAGAGAGGAAGATGAATGATTCAGAGGGGAGAGAAGTTGTGTGTTGGGGATGGTGTGGAGGTCACCAGCAAACTGACAGAATCCACCCGACACCAGAGCAGAGTAGCTGCACATGGAAGCTCTGGTTCTGTGTCCTAAACATTCTATCCTCGATGCTGCCCACCCCCACAACCCCAGTTCAAAGTAACTAATGGGAATAATCAGGGAGGAATCACAAGAAAATACAAAGGTAGAGTATAAGGATGTTAGCTTCCTGTAATTATGACTTACCATCACTCTTCTTCTTTCTCTCCTCCGTCCTTCATCATTGCTTTCTTTCTTCCTCCTCCTCCTCTCTCATTCACTCCTTATTCTTCCACCTTATATTTCTCTTTCCTCCCTTCCTTGTACCTATTTCCTCCATACTCTCTCCTTTCTCTGTTTTCTTTATCTCTCTTCCCTTTCTGTCACTAAACATCCACTGACCACTCAGGCTGTTCCTGACTGTGCGAGGCTTGGTAAAGCACAGAATTTGTGGCAAAATCCCGTGTCTCTATCTCTCCCAGCTATAAGCCCCTTCAGGACATGCTTGTAAATGGACACTTATAGCTGAACACAGTTAACACTGAAACAGGGATTTACAAGGCTCCAAGGAGCCCAGGAAGAGAAACACTTAAGATAGTGCTGCTTCAGGTGGGTCTTGAGGGATGAATAGGAAGTAGGCAGGTGGACGAGAGGGCAGGAATGTTGGTTGGAGGCATCCTTCAGAAAGGGCACAGCATTTAGTAGAGGCCTGCCAGAGTCCTGGGGGAGCCACAGGTGGGGTGAATGATGGAGATCCCCAATGTCACTACAAGTGGCATCCAGGTTCAGTGGTCTTGGCAGCCAGTGAAAAATGAGATCACTGAAAAGTGGGAGAATCCCAGAGTAGTGGACTCATTGCTCTTATCTTATATTCCCAGTCACGCTGCCTTAATCCATTTG